GTTCTTTGCTCTTGTTGCCTTGTTCTCTCCGTTCTGTGTCCTGCTGCTGCTGTAGTCAACTCCTGGTAGGACAGGCTTCCGACAGTACCTGTTTTCTCTTCTTTTTTTTCCCCTTTTTAAATAGATTTTTATTGATTTTAGAGAGGAAGGGAGCGGGAGAGAGAGAAACAATGACGAGAGAATCATTGATCAGCTGCCTCCTGCACACCCTTGGAGTAAATGAGTAAATTAGTGTAAGGAATATTTTGGGAGTCATCTCTGTTCTGGTCATTTGTTACTTTTAAATCTTGCATATGGACAGTTTTTCCCATATTTCTCGGTGACATGACCGTTTCTAAACCACATAGTGATGGCCTCGGTCCCCTAGAACAGCGGCCGCCAACAGGTCGTCCGTGAGGTCCGAGAGGTTGGCGAGCGCTGCCTAGAAAGTCATTTCCCTTTCCCCCCGAGTCTGTGCCTGCTTGTGGGCACTCTGTGTGTTTGCCGTAAGTTAAACTGTAACTGATGGAACTTTCGGAAGTTCGAGTAGCAGTTCTGTTAACTTATCTCCTATTAAAACGTTTTCTATTTCCCACCTTGGTTCTCCTTCTCTTTTTTTAAATGTAGTGAGACTAAGAGCCCTTTTCTCCTTTCTAGTAGCACTAGCAGCAACCCTTTTCCTGTTGGCGCTATGTTGTAGTTGTTCTAGTTAAAAAAGAAATGTACAGCTTTGCAGGCCTCTGGACTCTGCTGGTAGTTTCCTCAACTCTGACCAGCTCCTTGCCCATGGATGCAGTGGCTGTTGCCTCATTCCTGGCTCCTTGGTTGGTTGTGGAAAGGACGGGAGTGGTGGGTCTGTCTCTAGCCCATACCCACCTGGCTAGCTGTCAGCCTTCATCTGACTAATACCCAGGAGTGTGTGCTAATGAATGCCCTGGGGTATGGCTCTCAGGGCCACGGGCACTAGGATCAGATAGGAAGACTTTTGCTCTAGAAACTTGGGAAAACAAAAGCAGAACATGCGTGGTAAGGCAGGCCATCCCTGGAATTGTCCCTTCCCAGAGTTCTCCGCCTCACGCACTCTGCTTCTTGGAATTGTGTTCTCTCGAGCTTAGGAAGCCAGTGTGCCATGCCTCATGGCCAGAGAGAACGGGTCTTCTCCGCGGGGCGTGGTCTCCTTCAGGAACATGGGAGTAGGTGTGCGTGCCGGTCTTGTGTTGGCACCACGCTCTTGCCCTCTGCTTGCACACGGAGTGCAGGTTCCCCGAGGACGAAAGGAATTGCTGTCTTACAGAGGGGCCAAGAATAAGCTCCTGGTACTGGTTCTGTTTTAAAATTTTAAAAAGTACATATGTTTTTATTGATTTCAGAGGGGAAGGGAGAGGGAGAGAGAGAGAAACATCAAGGATGAGAGAGAATCATTGATCGGCCACCTCCTGCACGCCCCCTACTGGGACAACCAGGGCGTGTGCCCTGACTGGGAATCAAGCTGTTACCTCCTGGTTCTTGGTCGATGCTCAACCACTGTGCCACACCAGCCGGGCTATTTGAAAACTCTTTATGCAGTGATTGGTAGTCTTACACTTTTAAACGTTGTTTAAGTGTTTAGGATCTTACACTAAAGACATTTAAATATGTTATTGCAGAATACGGTCTCCGACTGGCCAGCCATATATTTGTGAAGGAGATTTCACAAGATAGCTTGGCAGCGAGAGATGGCAATATTCAAGAAGGCGACGTTGTCCTGAAGGTACAGTCTTACCCTACGCTTTAGCGAACGGAAACAGAAAGCCGGTTCTGGTGCGACCACATGGCTTCTGCCCACGTTGGAAGCAGTTTTCCCAGAAGAATTGGAATTCGGGGTTTGGGGGGCGGGCTGCTTCGCCACGTCCTTTTCACACGTCCGCACCGATGCCCTTCTTCAGGCAGAGAGGCACCCTGAGAGATCTCTCCGCTGTGCGTGTGTATCTCTCACCGGCAGAGCCACGGTGTAGGAAGCTAGTGGTGTAGCTTTTTGTACCACCAGTGAGTGGTGTTGACAGCTGCTCTGGATGTTACTGAGATGTTTGTTCTGTGTATTTGCTGTGTCAGTAATAGAAAGAGACAGGCTCTGGGGAGGGGCCAGGGGATGCTAGTTTGGGTTTTCTGTCCGAGTAACAGTATAAAGATTTATTATTCCGGGAAGGAGGGGGCTTGATCATTCAGCAAAGGGTGAAGCATGTTTTGGGGTGTCCAGCGAGCCGGGGAGCAGCGTAGCCACTCCTGCTCACAGTGGACGTGCGTTACTGTTCGTATCTGTGTCATTCGCTTTCCACCTATGACTGCTTTTCTGTTGCAGATAAATGGCACCGTGACGGAAAACATGTCCCTGACGGATGCCAAGACGCTGATAGAAAGGTCGAAGGGCAAGCTGAAGATGGTGGTGCAGAGAGACGAGCGGGCCACGCTGCTGAACGTGCCCGACCTCTCGGACAGCATCCACTCTGCCAATGCCTCGGAGAGGGACGGTGAGGGCGGTCCTTGTCCCCTTACGTGACCCGTCCCTTAACGTGCTAGGGAGACTCGGCGTGTTTGACCGAGATAGTTTCCTACAAGCCAGCCGCCTTCAGAATCTAAGAATTACAAATGTATATGCATGGGTCATTTTATTTTTCCCAGTTTTACAGAGAGGTAATTAACATGCATCAGTGTACAAGCTTAAGGTCTAAGCTGATGATTTGATTTGCATGTATGCTGAAATGATGGCCACGGCGATGGTGGGGTTGGCTGCTCTTGTTTTTAAGAGTCCACATGTAAGTGAGGCCATGCAGTATTTGTCCTTGTCTGACTTACCACTTAGCATGATGCCTTCCAGGCCCATCCATGCTGTCACTGTATATATGTTTTCCTGTGGACAGCACGCCACTGCTGATCAGTGGCTGCTGAAGTGACTGCTTAAATCAACCATTTTACATGAAATTAGATTTAGTGCTTATCTCCGTTTTCATTGGAGTACCTTATATTTCACTGAACTCATTTCCTGGGAAACTAAATGGCCCCTTTTATTTAACAGACATTTCAGAAATTCATTCGCTGGCATCAGATCATTCTGGTCGGTCACATGACAGGGCTCCCCGCCACAGCCGGTCGCGATCTCCTGACCAGCGGTCAGAGCCTTCTGACCATTCCAGACATTCGCCACAGGACCCCAGCAACGGCAGGTAATCTCACTCTTTTTAAAATATATATATGTTTTTATTGATTTCAGAGAGGAAGGAGGGGAGAGAGAGAGAGAAACTTCAATGATGAGAGAGAATCATGGATCGGCTGCCTCCTGCATGCCCCCTACTGGGGATCAAGTTTGCAACCCGGGGCTGTGCCCTGACCTGGAATTGAACTGTGACCTGGTTCATAACTCAACACTGAGCCATACCGGCTGGGCAGTAATCACACTCTTGTCCAAAATAGAATAGTTATGTGTGCTAGGTCCGTGTTTCTAGCATTACTTACAACTAAATCTAGAAGATAGGTTTTCTTTTGACTATTCAAGATTATGTCTGTTTTTCTTAATCAGTTTAAGTATTTCTTATCTAGAAAAACAGATTCAATGATGAGAGAGAATCATGGATTAGCTGTCTCCTGCTTGCCCCGTACTGGGGCTTGAGCCTGCAACCCGGGTCTGTGCCCTGACCTGGCATTGAACTGTGACCTGGTTCATAACTCAACACTCAACACTGAGCCATACCAGCTGGGCAGTAATCACACTCTTGTCCAAAATAGAATAGTTATGTGTGCTAGGTCTGTGTTTCTAGCATTACTTACAACTAAATCTAGAAGATAGGTTTTCTTTTGACTATTCAAGATTATGTCTGTTTTTCTTAATCAGTTTAAGTATTTCTTATCTAGAAAAACAGAGGTCAAACTTCTCCTTAAAGGGCCAAATAGTAAAATATTTTAGGCATGCGAACCATATCCCTTGTCACTATTCAGCTCTGTCTTTGTATTACAGAAGGAACCGTAGACAATATGTAAATGAATAGGCCTGGCTGGGTTCCAGTAAAACTTTATTGATAAAGACAGTTGGCCCACAGCTGCAATTTGCTGAGGCCTGCAAGCTTATATAATTCACTGTTCAGGGAAGTTAACCAGAGTAGGAGTCTTTTACTAGACTGATTAGCCTGTTGTATAGAACACGCGTTCCAAAGTGCAACCTGTGGACCAGAGCCAGCCTGCTGCCTAGTTTTGCAAATAAAGTTTTATTACAACCCATTCTGCAATGACATAATTAAGAGCTTGCAACAGAGGCTGCATGACCCACAGCAGGAAAAGTTAGCCAATCCCTGGTTTAGAATGTTACAATAGTTTTGTTTTTAAGCTAAAAACAATCTATGGGTAGAGAGAATGATTACACTGATTTTCTTCCGACCTTGCTTGTTGCTCAGTTTGTGTTTTATTCAGTCTTGTTTCAGAGCTCACACTGGGCCAAGACTTGTGCCTGTGTGAAAACGGTTTTAATGTGAAGTCTACAATACGTTAAACAGCACAGCTCTAGGTCTGCATGTATTATTGAATAATGCCTCCATCTCTCGGTAGATAACAGAAATGCACTAAAGAGAGCATTGATTTTTCAAATATTAAGAAAAATGTAATGAAATTATATGAGTCCCATCTGAAATGTTACTGAAATCAGATTATTATGCAATTGTATAATAATAATTGTATTGCATAATAATCGTACTACAATCATAGTAATTATAGTATTTTCATTGGCTGCCTCCTGCACACCCCCCTACTGGGGATGGAGCCCGCAACCTGGGCACGTGCCCTGACTGGGAATCGAACCATGACCTCCTGGTTTATAGGTTGGCGCTCAACCACTGAGCCACGCCGGCCGGGCAACTGCTAGCTTTTTATAACCGTTTGAGAGCTGTTAGAGGAAGCCCCTTGTCATCGTTTTTTAAAGTTTTTCTCTTACAAGAGACGTTCCCAGCCTTCTTCTCTCTCGTGACTTGTCATTTGATCCCTGTGTAGTCACCGGAGCAGAGAGGAGGAGAGAGCGTCCAAACCCGGGACCGTCTCGCCTCCCATGAAGCACGCGGACGATCGTGCCCCGAAGGCAGTGGAAGAGGGCCCCGTGGAGAGAAACGAGAAGGCGGCAGCCACTCTCCCAGGTGAGCCTCAGGCACCGAGGCCAGAGGACGTGCCCTCTGGCCGCAGGTCTGCCAGGTTAGGGGAGACTTCGGAGTGCTGCTAGTGTTATTGTTGTTGTTACTGTTATTATTACAGCTACTGCTTCCTGCGTTGAATTTTCTGTAACTTCCAGCATTTTCTTTATGGCGGAGGGTTGGCATGGATCAGGAGGCGTGCATGGATGTTTTTCTAGATCGGAGTTACTCACGGTTAACAGCTACTCACAGTGAGGACGGTGGTTCTGCAGCTGCTCCCTGAAGAGAAACATTAGCTTGGCTGAAGAAAAACATGTTAGGTTATCTGCTTAATGAAAGGGTTTTCATAAACACTTGTTAAGTGTGCCCTGTAGAGCTGTGTGTGAGATCAGACGTAAGAATCCGAAGGTTTCGAGATCTGCTTGCTTGAAAGGCCTGGAGGTTTCGGTTCTAATGCCTCTTAGGTCCTTTTCTCAAGTCTTTGGGCTCTGCTTGCTTGTGGTGGCTTGTGGGTAATGGGAAAATAAATCTCCCGCAGGGAGGACAGACAGCTGCTTGGGTGGCCATAGCAGAAGTGTCGGCTCTCCTATATTCTCAGTCTCCTGGGGCTCTTCCTATGGGTTTCTCGGGCCTCCCAGCTGGTCCTGTGCAAGGCACGGGCGATGGTGCCACACCATGCCTGTTACCAAGACGTTAGGGTTTATGACTAACCACACTCTTCACTCTTCACATGTAATACGTGCACCTTACCAGGTTCTCCGAACTCACATGTTTTGCAGACCTTCTTGTTTGATTATTTCACTGTTTTGTTACATTATTATTTTATTTTTTAATAAGTGATTTCTGCACCATTTAAATGTTCTCTCTTTTAGAACCGAAGCCTGTGTATGCTCAAGTTGGACAACCAGATGTGGATTTACCTGTCAGCCCGTCCGATGGTGTCCTGCCCAATTCCACGCATGAAGACGGGATCCTTCGGTAACGCGGCTTTAACTTGGGCTGTCCTCTCTAGCCATTACTAAGCGTCATTGAACGTGAGAGTTCCGTTTCCAACCATATGGCATATATTTAAAAACACTGCATCCCATTAATGCTGTGATTGGGTTTTAAAAATTATATGACAGAATCAGAGATTAGAGAACAGCAAAGGTACTTTCTGGATGTTTACTTTTTTCTCATTGTCTTCTACCTAGTTTTTAGGCCATGAATTAAAAAATTGTTTTCTATTTAGACACCAGATTTTTGACAAACTTTCTAATGCCCTAGCGTTTTTTTGATTTTTTTAAATCAGTGTTTCTCCATTTCAGCATTATTGACCTTTAGGCCAAATCTCTGTTTCTTAGTGGCTTGTGTAGTATCATCCTTGGCCGCTAGCTGACAGTACACATCCCTCCCCCTCTCCCCCGGGCTGTGCCAACCAGAAATGGTTCCAGACGCTTCTTAGGAGCAAACACAGCCCTGGTTGAGAGCCTGCTCTGGATTAGTTAGCATCTCTAAGTTGTTATATTCTACACCTTTTATCACTTCATATTCTTCAGTTGATGGGCTTGAGACGTACATGCTGTAACCAGGTTCCACGCCATCTGGGTTGTGGGATAGTCCTGCTGCCTCTGTGGTGACGTGACGTGGCACTGTGAGCCTGACCCTCGCTGTCCTCCAGCAGTGCTGTGGGCGACACTTCAGACACGATGGTCCTTTATTTCACTCTGAACATGATTTTCATGGTAGCAGTTTGCTGTAACTCCTCAAGCCTCTCTTCGCCGTTTCAAACGAGATATTTGTTCCCACAGGCCCAGCATGAAATTGGTGAAATTCAGAAAAGGAGATAGCGTGGGTTTGCGGCTGGCTGGTGGCAATGATGTCGGGATATTTGTCGCTGGCGTTCTAGAAGATAGCCCTGCAGCCAAAGAAGGCTTGGAAGAGGGCGATCAAATTCTCAGGGTACGTCAGCGCACTCACGCATGTGGGGTTGAAGCACGTAGAGCTCTAGGAAGAGGCGTCCAACATGGCAGACCCACCATACGACACAGAGAATAACCTACGCCACAGTCTCTTGAGCCAAGTAAACATTCAGACCAAGAATCCATGAGGTCCCGGCTGTGCCGGGCCGGTCACTTCCGGGGCCTGCGTTTGCTCTGGTTGAGGGCTGGGCTGTGTGTTGCTACACAGTGGGTGCTTTGGTCTCATTTTAATCCTTGGTTCATAGAACCTACAAGACAAAGGAAGTCCTGGATCCATGAAATAGGGACCTTTTTAGTTCAGCTACACGTCCGACAGCAAGGCTCTGCCGTGAGCCACACTCACAGTGGCCAGCACCGGGCGCTGCTCTCCGTGGGCGTGGGCGTGGCCGCAGTCCCCCAGCCCCTGGACCTTCAGCGCGGGGAGGTGGGGTTTCCTCCAGGCAGACATGGAGCTGCCCTGGCTCTGACCTCACCCACAGGAGCCAGGGCAGCCCTGTTGGTGCAGCCTGCTTTTCCCTAGCGGTGTGGCCAGTGACATGGGAACATCTTTACCTGTCTCTCCTCTTTTTAAAATGTCCGCACTACCACTACATGCGCCATTGTAACCAGCAGATCACACCTCCCGGGTGTGAGTTTCTGCACGGGCTCTACTTCCCACCCTCCAGCTGTCAGTGCCCCTCAGTCCGGCGTCTCCCTGCCTGTAGGCTCCCACCTCCCTTGTCCTGACTTTGTCTCTGACCCACAGTCCCATGGGCCATGTTCTTCTCTTCCCCCTCCTGCTCTCCAACCCTCCTGTCGCATTTCTCTCCTTCGGCTGTTGAACTTGAGTCCCTTCCTAGCTTCTCTTTCGGTCCGTGCTGTCATGGGGTTGAGCAGCCTGGCTTCCTCCGTAACCACCGCGCCTCTGACGTTCGTAGCCATCCGAGGCCTCGTGTCTTCAGCCTGCGCGTCCCTGACTTCCTCGCTGTGCGCTGAGCTCTTGCTGTCCGTCCGGAACACCTTCCTGGGGCTCCGCACACGGCCGTTCTGTCCCCCTCTGATCTTGGGTGCTCTTTTCCTGCCTTCCTTAATGACTCTTCTAGACTTAGGGAATTCATCCACTTAACACTATTTCTTAGTGATGTGTTCTGTTTCGGATTGTCCAAGTTGTGCACGCTACTGTTTTTTTGTCACCCAGCGCACAGTCACCTGGACTGACACCTGGACGAGGCCCTCCTGGTCCTTAGGACCAGCTGATACAGGTCACTGTTGCCTGGCAGCCGCTGAGCCCTCAGCCGTCCTGCCGACGTTCCCAGCGATGCCGCAGCACATCCGCTGTTTCTTTCCCATCTCGTTTCCTTCTGATTCCTTTAGCAGAGTCTAGTAAAGCAGGGCTCTTTGCACACTTACAGAACTTACAACTTAAAGTTTTAAAGGCAGAGATTTTCCAGTAATAATAGATACTTGGAATTAGAAGTTGTCTTTGGCCTACATTGGTTAGGTTTTGCACTGAATGGTCTTCAAAGTCAGGATGCATGGTGACTGCTCTTTAAATGAACTTACACCTTCACTTGCTTTACTTGGTTTTTGCTTGCTTTAAATTATAGTATATTCTTTCTCCAGAGTACATGTTTCCATCTGACGGATGTGATCTTTTTAAGTTGGGTAAACAGAATGTTTGCTTCCTGTGTAGATAAGCATTTTGTGACCCTTAAGTACGGCCTGAGTGACCTGTGAACGGCATTTTGACAGGTCAACAACGTCGACTTCACCAACATCATCCGCGAGGAAGCCGTGCTCTTCCTGCTGGACCTGCCGCGGGGGGAGGAGGTGACGATCCTGGCGCAGCAGAAGAAGGATGGTGAGCGGCGGGACGGGGCGCGGGCTGTGGGAGCTGGGGACTGAGATAGGAGTGTATTTCCGTTTCAGTAAGGCGCTCAGAGTCGGGTAAATGAACGTGTTCATCTCACGCACCGTGATAGGACCAACCCGCCTTAGCGTGTTCTCGCTTAAGTAGGATGCCGACCAACCCAGGGCAAGGCTCGGGAAAATCCCATTTGTGTATTAGCCGGCAGAACCACGCAGAAGCACACAATTTTGTGGCGACGTTGTCTAGGCAGTGCTCTGGTGTCTGTTCGTGTTCACGCCCCAGAATGCCTGGTGTTCTCCAGTTGAACAGGTGTCCTGTCCGTGTAGAACGGGGCTCCCAGCCTCGGCCCACGACATGTGGGCTGAGGCCTTCTTTGTGGTGGGCTGTTCTGTGCCTCGTAGGACATTAGGGAGCATCCCTGGCCTCCACCCACCAGTGCCAGTAGCACCCACACCCCCTCCCAGCACCTCGCCTGCAAAGTGGAGGTGCTGGGCGTTCCCGCCTCGTGAGGTAATGGTGGTGTACATGTGGCCAAGTGCCCAGCACGGTCAGGGTCAGTGTTGACACTGTTACGTTTGGTAATATTATCAGTGGCCTCTCCGCGCTGTGAATTCTCACCAGCTTCATTTCTTATCCCACTAGCTGTTGACGATGTTTTTGTCTTGATTCTTTTTAGTTTATCGCCGCATCGTAGAATCAGACGTAGGAGATTCTTTCTATATCAGAACCCACTTTGAATACGAGAAGGAATCTCCGTATGGACTTAGTTTCAACAAAGGCGAGGTGTTCCGGGTCGTGGACACCCTGTACAACGGGAAACTGGGCTCCTGGCTCGCTATCCGCATTGGCAAGAACCACAAGGAGGTGGAACGAGGCATCATCCCCAACAAGAACAGGTAGGACTGTTCGGCTGCTTCTCAGAACCCAGTAAGTAACGATGACAGAGTTCAGTCCCCCGGGGAATGCTGGGAATGTGAAGATTCATCTTCATTGTCGTCATTGTGTCTGTAATTGACCCAGTTGCACAAACCCCCTTTTTTTTTAGTTCATCCAGTAAGATGTAAGCTACATGTGAGATTCTATCCAGGATTTGACATTTTACTCCTTGGGAGTCTTTTTCCATTTTGTGGTTTTAAAACACCTTTATTTTATTGGTGTCTCCTCTGGCGCAGGGCTGAGCAGTTAGCCAGTGTGCAGTACACGCTTCCTAAGACAGCGGGAGGGGACCGCGCTGACTTCTGGAGGTTCCGGGGCCTTCGCAGCTCCAAGAGGAATCTCCGCAAGAGCAGGGAGGACTTGTCGGCCCAGCCGGTGCAGACCAAGTTCCCAGCCTACGAGAGAGTGGTCCTCCGGGAAGGTACGTTCTCCTCCGCACGCTGGCCTGTACCCTGTAGTGTCCGCGTGCTCAGGGCAGACAAGGTATAAACTGTGCTGCTCTTCCCTGGATTTCTCCCCAGCCGGGTTCCTGAGGCCGGTCACCATCTTCGGACCAATAGCGGACGTGGCCCGAGAGAAGCTGGCGCGAGAGGAGCCGGACATTTACCAGATTGCAAGTAGGTCGCCTCCGTACAGGCTGGGGTGAGGCCGAGGTGTTCATTCACTCAGGGCCCCTCTCAGGGCTGGGCTGGTCCCTTCACCCAAGGGAAGTGACAGTTTGCTTTTGTTTTTTCACAATATATTTTTATTGATTTCAGAGAGGAAGGGAGAGGGAGAGGGAGACAGAAACATCAGTGATGAGAGAGAATCACTGATCAGCTGTCCCCTGCAAGCCCCACTGGGGACCGAGCCTGCAACCTGGGCAGGTGCCCTGACTGGGAATCGAACCCTGACCTCCTGGTTCAGAGGTTGACGCTCAGCCACTGAGCCACACCAGCAGGGCTAAATTAAGAGACTTGCCATATTTGACAATTTCTCTTGGGCAAGTGACAATCCTCATTTTCGCTCAAGTTCCATTTCCTGGTTCTCTGAAAAGTTGGTGTGTGGAGTATGAGCTTTGATGCTCTGAACATACTGGATCCCAGTATTGCAGAGTACTGAGGTTGGGGCCCCATTCACCTCGCCCTGAGGCCAGGCCTCACTGGCCTCTCCTAATCCCAGCCTCGTGGGGAAGCACTGGTCTAACCCAGCGGCTCCCGTTCAGGGCAGATCCTCCCCATTGGCTGTCCGGAGCCATTTTCGTTGTCATGATGGGAGCGAGGGAGGCGGGGGCTGCTCCTGGCATGGGGTGGATGGAGGTCACAAAACAAGCACCCTACCAATTTTCCTAACGAAACATTTAAATCTACTCAGATGTCATTCTGATAAATGATGTTGGGGTGCAGTCACTGCTTCTTTTTTTATTTTTATTGATTTCAGAGAGGAAGGGAGAGGGAGAGGGAGACAGAAACATCAGTGATGAGAGAGAATCACTGATCAGCTGTCCCCTGCAAGCCCCACTGGGGACCGAGCCTGCAATCTGGGCAGGTGCCCTGACTGGGAATCGAACCCTGACCTCCTGGTTCAGAGGTTGACGCTCAGCCACTGAGCCACACCAGCCAGGCTAAATTGAGAGACTTGCCATATTTGACAGTTTCTCTTGGGCAAGTGACAGTCCTCATTTTCGCTCAAGTCCCATTTCCTGATTCTCTTTGAAATGTTGGTGTGTGGAGTATGAGCTTTGACGCTCTGAACATACTGGATCCCGGTATTGCAGAGTACTGAGGTTGGGGCCCCATTCACCTCGCCCCGAGGCCAGGCCTCACTTGCCTCTCCTCATCCCAGCCTCGTGGGGAAGCACTGGTCTAACCCAGCGGCTCCCGTTCAGGGCAGATCCTCCCCATTGGCTGTCCGGAGCCATTTTCGTTGTCATGATGGGAGCGAGGGAGGCGGGGGCTGCTCCTGGCATGGGGTGGATGGAGGCCGTGGCACAGCGCACCCAGCTACGGGTTCCCGCGCCCAGCATGTCACAGTGCTGGTGGCTGAGGAGTTAGTTCTCATCTCACCGCGGCAATTTGGTGTTTTGTCTTGTCCCGACTCCATGAACAGAAAGCGAACCTCGAGATGCGGGGACGGACCAGCGCAGCTCCGGCATCATCCGCCTCCACACGATCAAGCAGATCATAGACCAGGTGAGCTCAGCAGCGATTGTGTCGCTCTCAGCTGCGAGGGTTGTGGCTCTGAGTGGGATGTGGTGTTTGGTTCATTTGAGAGTAAAAAGGTGTTCTCTACGATTATTACCGGTGTACCGTGCTGAAAGGCGTGGGAATAGAGTTACATGCATCTAGAGATGGTTTAGAGTGCCACAAAAGCATGTTCAAACACATTCATAGACCGTTTACACTGCACTAGCACAGCTCTCGCTGCACTGTGACACTTGGGGTAGGGAGGAGATT